ACGTCGATGAATTGACCTTCGTCTCGAAACTGAGCACACTTGGATAAAAGAATCTCGGAATGGGCGACCATCTTGCGACGCTTTGCTTTACATTCCTAACGCGCCCTGGAGACGCCAACATGCAAATTTGATAGATCGTCACAAGATCGCACGCCTGGCTTCACCCACAACAAAATCGTCAGGCGAGCAAGGTCACCAAACGTTTGGCTAATCAGTATCGCAGACTCGGAACCTTCGTGACTTCTAGAGTTGTTTTCTTCCCAACGTATTCCGCCCTGCTCCATCGAGGCAAGACCCAGTATGTGACGCTTTCTTGAAGCAACAGGAGAGAACTTACTAATTCAAAATCCTTCATTCTTTTTGCTCACTAATGCGATTGACATAAACAAAAAACAAACCTGATCAAAACATTCACTTACCTTTACCTTTATTAAGTTAGTACAGCCAGTGAGGTATCACAGCAATTCAGTTCTTTGCTACTGGGTACTATGTGTTGGTACGGAGATTATTAATACACAGTCGTGAGGTTCTCCGAGGGGAAGATACACGTTTAGTTTCCCTAATTGAGAACTGTTACACCAGAAATACAAGCAATGTGTTTACCTGCATGTCCAGAGTGTTTGGCGTTATTTTTGTCTTAATATTCACAATGTTTCTCCCTTGCTTGGCCCTCTATATCTTAATGAGAAGTTTTGGAAGTTCTAGTTTCACGTATTTGTAATAATTTTATTTTCAAACAGTTTGAGATTTAATGGTTCCAATAAATGTGTACATATTTGAACTGATTAATAAGAACGTTGACAAATTTGAAATGTTCCGTTTTTGTTTTAGTTGGTTTCCAGGGGCTTTTGGGAAACAAGTAAATGGCATCATTTATTTTTTTAAAGGAACGATGGTTTTTTAGGTTGTTGTGAGGAACCAAGGCATGAGTCTACTATTAAGTTTTGTATTAACGGGAACTTTGGGGAAAACGTTTTGATAAGAGTAGAACTTACTAATGGGAACAAGAAAGAAACTAAACATGTATCTTCCCCACGAATATGTGTATTAATAATCTCCGTACCGATAAATGGTACTCAGTAGCAATGTACAGTTGCTGTAATGCCTCACTGGCTGTACTAACTCAATAAAGGTAAAGGTCAATAAATGTTTTGATCGCGTATGTTTTTTTTTAATGTCAACCGCATTAGTGAGCCAAAAGAATGAAGGATTTTGAATTAGTAAACTCTCTCCTGTTGCTTCAAGAAAGCGTAGAATAATTTAGAGGGTATTTAGGGTTAGGGTTAGGGTTAGGTTCCAATTCCGAAATTACGACATTTTCAAGTCCCCTCCATCCTGACTCTAACTTTGTACTCATCTTAGCTTCTCCTTCCTTTTTTGCAACCTTTTTTCGCTTATTTACTGATTCGTATATTAAAGCCTTCCCTAGTCTATTACTTAGAAAACTGTTAAATGTTTTAATCTATAAATTTGATATTATAACTAAAAGTAAAGAAAATCAATGTCACTGTGATTTCAAACTCTCCCTCTGCACTGGCAGATAATACAGAACAGCACTTTTGTCAACTTTTCCTAAATTTTGCCGCTCACCCAAAGGAAGAGGGTACCGCCCCCCTGGTGGAATTCGTATACCACTCTCAACTGCAAATTTGTTTATCAAAAAATAAACCTTTCCTTCTACTTCCACTGCACCAAGCTTGTTTGGGGGAATATCGTTTTGTTCCACAA